CTAATAACTAGAAAGCTAATTCCAGCCTAATAAAGAATTCCCCAATGCTTTCACATAATTTCATTTACAAAAAAAAAAAAATTATTAGCTGTTTCTGAAAAAAAATCTACGCTGTTGAAAAAAAATATATATATATATATATATATAAATAGAATAAGCGTGTAACAAGAGCCACGAAAAAAAAAATTACCTAGATTCTTCTATTATACAAACCACAGTGGTTTAAAAAAAAAAAGCGTACGACCAAAAATAAAAAAACAAATTAAAAATGTGACATGCTTGAAAAAAACTAAAAGAAGCAGAAAAGTGAAGTTGGTAAAGTGTGCAGCTCGATTCTCCTGGCTGCTTGACTGGCTGGTTGGTTGACTGGAGATTTGTTGTTTACTTGTCAGCTTGGCTTGTTAGTTGTTTGGTTATCTGGTTGACTTACGGAATTGTCTGGTTGACTTGCTGGTTGTTGGTTGTCTCGTTGACTTAGTGTTTACTGGTTGTCTTGTTGACTGGCTGGTCGTTCGTTATTTTGTTGACTTTGTCGGTTTTTTGCCTTGTTGTGTGGGTATTTGTCTGGCTGATAGTTTGGTTGGCTGATTGAATTAGTTAGTTAGTCTTCCCTCTTGTGTCGAGTGCGGCACATAGGGCAGAGGTCATGACTCTCCATGCATGGCGGTTCGTTGCAATCTGTTGTAGGTCTTGGATGTTTGAGTGGCCCATGAGTGAGCCTTCCCTGATGATAGTTCTACGTAGGGTTTCCCTTGGTCTTCCACGAGATCTTTTCCCCTGTGGTGTCCAAATGAGGGCTTGGTAAGGAAGTCTTGATTTATCAATTCTAAGGGCGTGGCCGACATAGTTCCAGCGGCGTTTTCGTATAAAATTAGACACATACTCTTGCCTGGATTCTTGCCTTATTTGTGTATTGGTTCGGAAATATGACCATTTGAAATTTACACATACAAACACACACACACAAACAAAGAAAAACATGTAGACACCATTGTCTTGTCTCTGTGTGTGTGAATGGAAACAAATGCTGACAACATACTTTTTTAACTACACTAAACCAACCAAGAAAACAGCTAACCAACCTACCAATCAGTCATTCAACCAGCCAACTATTTAACCAGCTAACCTAACAATCAGTCATTCAAGAAGTCAACCTAACAACCAACTATTCAACCAACCAACCTAACAACCAACTATTCAACCAGTCAACCTAACAACCAACTATTCAACCAGCCAACCTAACAACCAACTATTCAACCAGCCAACCTAACAACCAACTATTCAACCAGCTAACCTAACAACCAACTATTCAACCAGTCAACCTAACAACCAACTATTCAACCAGCCAACCTAACAACCAACTATTCAACCAGTCTAGAGTTTTCGTTGATTTCCAGCTCTCGCATCCATAGGTTAGTTGGCTGGTTGATGACTTGCTTTTTGGTTTGCTAGGTTAAATGATTAGTTGTTAGTTTGACTTGTTGAATGCCTGGTTGTTAGGCTAGCTGGTTGAATGACTGATTGTTGGGTTGGTTGGTTGAATAGTTGTTTTGTTGGGTTGGCTTGTTGAACAGTTAGTTGTTAGATTTGCTGATTGAATAATTGGTTGTTAGGTTGGCTGGTTGAATAGTAGGTTGTTAGGTTGAATGATTGAATAGTAGGTTGTTAGGTTGGCTTCTTGAATGACTGGTTGTTAGGTTGGCTGGTTGAATAGTTGGTTGTTAGGTTGGCTTTTTGAAATACTGGTTGTTAGGTTGGCTGGTTTGAATAGTTGGTTGTTAGGTTGGCTGGTTGAATAGTTGGTTGTTAGGTTGAATGATTGAATAGTAGGTTGTTAGGTTGGCTTCTTGAATGACTGGTTGTTAGGTTGGCTGGTTGAATAGTTGGTTGTTAGGTTGGCTTTTTGAAATACTGGTTGTTAGGTTGGCTGGTTGAATAGTTGGTTGTTAGGTTGGCTGGTTGAATAGTTGGTTGTTAGGTTGGCTGGTTTGAATAGTTGGTTGTTAGGTTGGCTGGTTGAATAGTTGGTTGTTACGTTGGCTGGTTGAATAGTTGGTTGTTAGGTTGGCTGGTTCAATAGTTGGTTGTTAGGTTGACTGGTTGAATAGTTGGTTGTTAGGTTGGCTGGTTGAATAGTTGGTTGTTAGGTTGGCTGGTTGAATAGTTGGTTGTTACGTTGGCTGGTTAAATAGTTGGTTGTTAGGTTGGCTGGTTGAATAGTTGGTTGTTAGGTTGGCTGGTTGAATAGTTGGCTGTTAGGTTGGCTGGTTGAATAGTTGGTTGTTAGGTTGGCTGGTTGAATAGTTGGTTGTTACGTTGGCTGGTTGAATAGTTGGTTGTTAGGTTGGCTGGTTGAATAGTTGGTTGTTAGGTTGGCTGGTTGAATAGTTGGTTGTTAGGTTGACTGGTTGAATAGTTGGTTGTTAGTTTGGCTGGTTGAATAATTGGTTGTTAGGTTGACTGGTTGAATAGTTGGTTGTTAGGTTAGCTGGTTGAATAGTTGGTTGTTAGGTTGGCTGGTTGAATAGTTGATTGTTAGGTTGGCTGGTTGAATAGTTGGTTGTTAGGTTGACTGGTTGAATAGTTGGTTGTTAGTTTGGTTGGTTGAATAGTTGGTTGTTAGGTTGACTTCTTGAATGACTGATTGTTAGGTTAGCTGGTTAAATAGTTGGCTGGTTGAATGACTGATTGGTAGGTTGGTTAGCTGTTTTCTTGGTTGGTTTAGTGTAGTTAAAAAAATATGTTGTCTGCATTTGTTTCCATTCACACACACAGAGACAAGACAATGGTGTCTACGTGTTTTTCTTTGTTTGTGTGTGTGTGTTTGTGTGTGTATGCGAGCGCGCGCGTGTGTGTGCGTATGCACGCGTGTGTGTGTGTGTGTGTGCGTGAGTGTGTGTATGTGTGTGTGTAAATGTCATCGCGGCCCAGTAGTCCATAAATATTTTGACAATTTTCCAGTACACGAGTGTAAGAAGTTCAATTATAACTCGTCTAGACAAAATACTCCCTCTTACAACTGGCAGACTTGTTTATCAAGGCCCTTTAGATTATATGCTCTATCGTGTTCAAATTAGATTATATGCTCTATCGTGTTCAAACTTCCAATCAATTCAGCCTGTGTTTACTCAAGCAGTTTGTATCCTCTCATCTTTGTTGTGTTGGAACATGGGACTAAATGGGGACTATGATTATATCGATATCAATTTATACGTTTTGCCGCTGATTTACTGATAAGAAAGGTTAGCTGAACTTCCGCGACAGACAGAAATTAAACATAAAGATAAGCCACTCGGATTCTGTATGTGAGTTTTACATTAGTTTAAAGGTTAACAACCTAGATGGTTAGCTCGATTGCACAGGCTTTTATTATGTATGGCTGGGTCTGTCTCGCCAGAACGGCTAGTCTAGACGTCACACAAATCACCAACTTCGCAACTCCAGCGAAGATCCATTGTGCTCGATATCATTACATGTCGTACCCTTGAAAAGAACATTCCCCGTGGGCGTTCCGGTGCCATATTCAGAGATTAAAAAAATATATATCCACTGACCCGTGCAACCTGCCCCTTTTCCAGTAAGTAAAAGGCGACTAAATTAATACAGACGTATGTCCTTTATTTTGTGGACGCTCTGATAATCTCTTGGCATGAGCACGCGTCAGCATAGTGGAGCAATTGTGACAACCCTAGACTAACTAGGAGCGTTTTCTTCAAAGTCAGAATGCATCTGCCTGAAGAGAAGCAGAGAGATGAAAAGAGAAGAGAGTAGAAAACAGAAAAGAAAAGAAAAGAAGAGAAGAGAAAAAAAGAGAGGAAAAGAGAAGAAGAGAGGAAAACAAAAAGATCCAGAAACAAAGCATGTAATTTATTCATGTCATACTTACCTAATTATATGAGAGAAGACAGGAAGAGAAAAGAGAAGAAAAGAAAAGAAGAGACGATAATAAAAGAGAAGAGACGAGAGAAGAAGAGAAAAGACGAGAGGAGGAGAGAAGAAGATAAAAGACGAGAATAGAAGAGAAGAGACGAGAGGAGAAGAGCTGAAAAGAGAAGAGAGTAGAGAACAGAAGAGAAAAAAAAAGAAAAGAAGCAATGAAAAGAAAAGTAGAGAAGAGAGTATAGTTGAGTAGAGTTGAGTAGAGTAGAGAAAAGAAAAGAAGAAAAGAGATAGAAAGAGAAGAGAGTAGAGAAGAGAAGTGAGAAGGAAAAAGAAGAGAAGAACAGATTTGACAAGGAAAGAGAAGAGAGGAAAAGAGAAGAAGAAAACGAAGAGATCCAGTAACCAAGCACGCAATGTCTCGACTTCAGGTTTATCTATTTATAATTGCCCACTTCCCTACGCCCCGTCAAACAGCAGTTGCTTATATCCAGTAAACTGTTCTGTTTATTCTGAGAGCATTCCCACCAATTCTCCTATCCTTCAACATTGTAAACACTTCATAGCGTGTCACTTTCTTGAATGTTTTCATGTAATCACAAATAAGTAATGTCTTTCCGTGTTTTATTTCTTCTTTCTAATTGTGTTCGAATGCGTACTATACATATTTTCCCCTTCAATTCACTTTCATTATTTCATATGTTTTTTTTTTTTTTCTAATATTACTTTGTTTTCTTTCTTCTTCTGTTCTTTTGTCGATGTATTGTTGTGGTTTCATTATCTTCTTTACTCCGCTCCTTTTTTTCCCCTAACAGAAGTCATGGCTTTCGAGATTTCCTGTACGAAATTGTCTGCCTTCTGTTGCTCCTGATCCATAACAACTGATTCTTGCCACCAAATACTTGATGTAGGCTACCAATATCGGGAAAAGAGTTCTTTACTTATCTCCTCTCTTCTTGATATGCAAAGTACTTTATCCAGGAGTTTCTCTATACGCTATACTTTTTTTAAATTTATACATTTGTATATTCCAACAGTATCTTTCTCCTCTCTCTCTCTCTCTCTCACACACACACAAACACACACACACACACACACTCACAGGTCCTGGAGATGTTGTATCACTTGTTCTTGAAGTATTCGCTCACCACATTTGATGCTGGAGACTCCATTCTATAATCCTTGACGACGACCACTTCGCAAGAATTGACCTTTCTTGCTTAGTCCTCCTCGTCTAATCTGCATAGACCAGCCCACTCTCCCAGTTGCTTGGCATCCTCCACCTTGAGTAAATGTATCCCAGGCTCAGCACACGTGGCCTCAATCAACTTTGGATACAAGGGCTCATCCGAGACTGCCTTGGCTCATCAACGCTGTTGGCTAGAACATACAGGTGAGCCTGGCGTTTGTCTAAAGCGTTGGTGGCCTTTTTTTTCACACCCTTGCAGAGCCCATCATAAATTAGGGCAGTCTCCAGGACCTGTAGAAGGGCCTGGTAAACGTCCATGAACTCCACATCAGAAGGAGCTAGGGATGCGACAGCATCTGGGATACCTACTTCAACGTCAGACATGTTATGCAGTGACGTGTTTAATTGTGGCTCAGTAAAGTACTAAATAATATTAAGTCGGGGTTTACTTTAGGCCTTTAAACAAAACAAACTTCCTAAATAAAAATACAATTGCTCTGTAAAAGATAAGTGCTTAAAAGGGTCGAATGTAAGACAGGCCTGCGTGCCCAATCTTTGACCCTTGAAAAAAAAATTGTGTTTGTTCATTTGTTCCACATGAGGGAGCTGACTCCTTTATCGTTTGAACTTGAACATTTACAAACTCAAAATTATCGTCCAGATGTTAGTGTTCCACTTTGTATGCCAGACGGTGCCTGATCTTGCAGTAACCGTTAATTTGTCAGAGCTGGACATTATCTCCATGGCCCGGTTATCAGGCCCTCTCCTGGATGTCTGGTACCTGTTATCTCCCGCTTGTGTCCCGAGTTCAACGCCGTCTGACAGCTTTATCTGCTCTTAAAGTGTGAGAGCGAAAGTGGAAAGTGAATGATTTTTCAGTGTGTGTATTAGTGTGAAATAAGTGTTGGGGTCACATCAGTGTGCTAATGTGTTGGGGTCACATCAGTGTGCTAAGTGTTGGGGTCACATCAGTGTGCTAAGTGTTGGGGTCACATCAGTGTGCTAATGTGTTGGGGTCACATCAGTGTGCTAATGTGTTGGGGTCACATCAGTGTGCTAATGTGTTGGGGTCACATAAGTGTGCTAATGTGTTGGGGTCACATCAGTGTGCTAAGTGTTGGGGTCACATCAGTGTGCTAAGTGTTGGGGTCACATCAGTGTGCTAAGTGTTGGGGTCACATCAGTGTGCTAATGTGTTTGGGGTCACATCAGTGTGCTAAGTGTTGGGGTCACATCAGTGTGCTAAGTGTTGGGGTCACATCAGTGTGCTAAGTGTTGGGGTCACATCAGTGTGCTAATGTGTTGGGGTCACATCAGTGTGCTAAGTGTTGGGGTCACATCAGTGTGCTAAGTGTTGGGGTCACATCAGTGTGCTAATGTGTTGGGGTCACATCAGTGTGCTAAGTGTTGGGGTCACAACAGTGTGCTAAGTGTTGGGGTCACATCAGTGTGCTAAGTGTTGGGGTCACATCAGTGTGCTAATGTGTTTGGGGTCACATCAGTGTGCTAAGTGTTGGGGTCACATCAGTGTGCTAAGTGTTGGGGTCACATCAGTGTGCTAAGTGTTGGGGTCACATCAGTGTGCTAATGTGTTGGGGTCACATCAGTGTGCTAAGTGTTGGGGTCACAACAGTGTGCTAAGTGTTGGGGTCACATCAGTGTGCTAAGTGTTGGGGTCACATCAGTGTGTGCTAATGTGTTGGGGTCACATCAGTGTGCTAAGTGTTGGGGGTCACATCAGTGTGCTAATGTGTTGGGGTCACATCAGTGTGCTAAGTGTTGGGGTCACATCAGTGTGCTAAGTGTTGGGGTCACATCAGTGTGCTAAGTGTTGGGGTCACATCAGTGTGCTAATGTGTTGGGGTCACATCAGTGTGCTAATGTGTTGGGGTCACATCAGTGTGCTAATGTGTTGGGGTCACATTAGTGTGCTAATGTGTTGGGGTCACATCAGTGTGCTAATGTGTTGGGGTCACATCAGTGTGCTAAGTGTTGGGGTCACATCAGTGTGCTAATGTGTTGGGGTCACATCAGTGTGCTAAGTGTTGGGGTCACATCAGTGTGCTAAGTGTTGGGGTCACATCAGTGTGCTAAGTGTTGGGGTCACATCAGTGTGCTAAGTGTTGGGGTCACATCAGTGTGCTCACTAATGTGTGAAAGTGGAGAGTGGGGGATGGGGGGGTGGGGAAAGGGGTGGGTGACGAAAGGATAATCAGAGTAT